GGCGTGCGCACTCGGGACAGCAAAATACAGTGTTTCATACAGCGTTTGGACCACAAACGTGTGGTCGAGGCCGGGGCACCACGCAACCGCGCTCGCGCGAAGCACAAGGTTGATCGCGATGCTACGCACGGGCGACTTGGACTGCGTTCGGTACAAATGGAGTCCGTCTTGCGTGAGCACGACGAATTCCTGGCGCAGACACGTGCTGGAAAGAGCGCGGAGCGTTTCTTGCTGGAAGACCATGCGCTGCCGGTGCTGCGTCCGAATGCGCACGCCGAGCCGCGTCGCCGAGGACGGTGGCCAGAGCAAGGGTTGCGCCGCGACGACCGTCGACGTCGCTTCATGCAGCGCACGTCGCTGGTGCTCGATCGCCGTGTAGCGGCAAAGGCGGGACCGGACATGCAACTGCGTCGGCGCCGACGGGCGCCACGCCGCCGAGTGCACCGTCTGCAGTGCGAGCGTCTCGGCCACCGCGACGAGGTACACGACGCAGCGCTTTCGCAACGCAAAGTCGACCATCTCGAGCCAATACGGCACGCCGACTATGGTGGTCGTCGGTGTCATCTCTGGGACGAGCGAAGGGTCGTCATCGCTGCTGTTGTGGTCGATGGCCGGCAGGAGGAGCGTCGCGCGGCTGTGGCGGCGCGGATCGGGCGTCGTGTAGGCGACCGAGAAGCAAAACACATAGTCTTTCGCGTCCTTGTCGTGTCTGCTTTTGGCGGCGACCACGTCGTAGCACACGAGGCGCAGCGGGTGACCCTCGAAGAAGGTCGTGAGCGCGACGTCCTTCATACCCGGGAGGTTGATGATCGTCCACTGCGTCAAGTCGACGTACATGGTGTGGAAGTGAAATGTGTAGGTGGCGTCGAGGTCGTAGACTTCGGTGCCGCACGGCGTCTTCATGCGCCCGAGGTGCTCGGCTTTGGACTCGCCGAAGGCTTCTTGGCCGAGGACAGGCGGCGTCTCGCCAGGTGGTGTGATGACCATCTCGTCGACCGACTGGTAGAGCGGAAAGACGCAGTGCGGCAGCTCGTGCGCGTCGCCGAATGCGTAGTGCACGGCCTTGACGAGGGTCTGGATGATGCTCATGATGACGCTCGCGAGGCTGCGCGTGAAGAAGCCAGCGAGATGCGGTCCGGGAGCTCGCCGCCGAGGTACACGACGCCGCGCGGCTGCCGCTTGAAGCGACCTTGCACTTGGATCCAGAACATGCGCTTGCGCTTGTCAAAGAGGTGGTGCCACGTCGCATTCGGCGGGTCCGTCTTGACGAGAAAGTACACGTGACCTGCAAAGAGGTCGTTCTCGAAGGGCACGGGCGACGCCGAGTTCATGACGATGCGCACGTCGCTGCCCGAGCCGACCTCGTCGGTCACGCGCAGCATGTGCAAGCAGTCGGCGTCCGCGGCCGACGACCGCCGGCGGTCCATGGCGTCGCTCGCCGTTGGTGGCATCGAATCTGTGTCGTCGTCGTCGTTGTCCATGTCGCTCGACGACGACGTGTCGCTCGGTGCGGGGCTGTGCCGGCGCGGCGGCGGTGGTGGCGGCGGTGGTATCGCCGCGCGACTGCCTCGGAACAAGACGCCCAATGAGAGCAGTGCTGGCAGCAGCGTCAAGCCATGGGCAAGGCCATAGACGTAGAGGCTCACGGCGGCGAGGGCGACGAGGACCACGACCTCGGGCCTCGTCACGCCATGGCGACCCATGCGCAGGCAAAATACAATTCCCCGGATCGCGGCCACCATACAAACATTCCGATACACTGTATCATGTGGCCTTTGACATTATTTAATTATTTAAAATAAAAAGAGGCACCAACTTCAAGTCGGTATCTTTGACGAGGCGACGACGATGGCGCTGCCGCGCTACTACCACCTGCGCGACCCGATCGAGCACCTCGTGGTGCACGTCACCTTGCGCAAGGTACGCATGCCTCGACGTAGGAGGGTCACTTGACGGCGTAGGTGACCGAGGGCGACGCCAGCCGCGCCGGCCGCACGACCAGAGACGAGTGGACGCGCTCCTTTCAGTGGCAGGAAAAGGTGTTTAGCCCCGCGTACGCCGACGCTCGCCCATGTGCATGCCTCTTATGACACGTATAGCGAGTTTCGCCGCTTCAACACACGCGCAGCGGGCGACGTGGTCGTCCAGAGCGCCAAGGCCGCGTCGGCGCTCGAGGTCGCGATGTTGCGTTCCAAAGGCGGCTCAGGCTCGACTAGGTCGAGTACAAGCACACGATAGCGCAGCGCCAAGAAGCAAACGAAGAGATCCTCGATGTGACTGCCGATGCGGTCCTGTATAGCTACACGGACCGCGACAACTATGTGCCGAGCTCGGTACCTCCGACTTTGCACTTTGGAAAGTCAGATGCATCGTTCCTAGGAGACGACGCGGGCCATATCGACGTCTACCGAGCCGCTGAGCGACATGGCGATGGCTGCGATAGCGCTGCAGCGCCACGCGCCATCGACGCACGTCGCGACGCGCGAAGTGGCCTTCACGACCATGTACCTCATGGCGTCTCTGGACATTCCTTCCGACCTGTACAAGCGCAAGAAGAAGCTCAACCAGATCCGCGATCTCGATGACCACGTGCTCTGTGAGCTGCGCTACTACCCGCGCGCACGTCTCCTCGTCTGTCGCCCTGGCTTTTCAAGGGAGACCCAAGGCGCCACCGATTTCGTGTGTCTCGAACCCTCCTCGCTGCAGTCGAAACGCGGCAGCCACTACGAGTACATTCTCGTGAACGCGCAGAATCTGCATCCGGACGACAGCTACACGCAGCTCCAAGTTGCGCGCGAGCTCGACCGGCTCCAAGCGGCGGCTGACGACCGCGCACGGAAGGCCTTCGAGGCGCGCTGCGGCTTTGCTGGCGTCGCTGAGCCCAGCTCGAGCATCGTCTCGTACGTCGACGTGGTCGCAACGACGCTTTTGACACGGGACGACGAAGGCCTCCTGCTCGGGCGTCCCCGGTACCTGCAATACGTGGTGTTTCTAGACAAGACGGACGGCACGTGGGTGGGCCCGCCCGAGACGTGGGACCCCATCGACGCCCGGTTTGTGCTCCAGTCTGGCTGCACGCAACAATGCCTGCCCCGAAATGGCCTGCTGCATTGGAGTCTCCCGCTTCAAGTGACCGTGACGCTGGCCGCGCTCCATGAGACAGTGCCCCGCCACGGGTGCGCGTGTCTGTCCAGCTCCTCTGTCGAGACGCATGGGAGCGCCACTATGTCGAAGGCTACGGCAGCGTGTGTTTGCCGACGATGCCCGGGCGCTACGACGCAATTTCGATCGAGCTGTGGCGACCTCGACTACCATCCGTGGCCGCGGAGCGACGCAACTTTTTCCTCGGTGGCGAAGGCCAGCTGCAGAGCCTCTTTGACGTTCACAAGGCGTCGTTTGGATTGGAGACGGACAGTGCTGGCTCGGTCTTGCTGCGGGCGAGTGTGTTGCACCAAAGCAACGTTGTCGACGTCATCACCGAATCCAAGGAGCTCCGGATCATCAAGCGCGGCGTCGACGAGATCCTCGCCAAAGTTCGCGCGGCCAAGCCAGGTCGCACCGACCGAAAGGTCTCTGCAGTGAGCTCGATCCTCGATCAGCTTCGCGAGAAGCGCCTTTTACCCGCCACGTAATAGTATATGCTTGCGAGCGGTTTGAGAGGTCTACTGCTACAACAGGCCAATTCAAGGTAAATCAACAATTAATCTCAATCGAGTTCCGTCCCTTGCAAACATCGACTGCGGGAGTGTGCAGCTCTTCATGTAGCGACACTTGGTAGGAGCCTTGCATATTCGAGACGGAGATAGAGTACGTTGATACAAGAACGCTAATCGTCGTCGCTATCGAGGTCGTCTAACGGGTTGCCCGACCGCTTCTTCATGACGCGGAAGAATTCATCCTACAGGTTCTCGTGTCGCTTCGACTAATATAGCAGAATTCGCACCTCGTTGATGAGACCGTCGCCGTCGCGATCGGCTTCGTCAATCATTTCCTATGCGCAAAGCGTACTGGGAACGATGTCGCTTGTCTCTCTCTACCTGCATCTCTTCGTCCGTAAGGTTCTCGCCGAGCTCGGAGCACACGCGCTTGAGGTTTTTGAACGAAATCTTGCCCGTCTACAAGACACCGACTCTATCGTCCATTGCCGGTCTCGCCACGTACGTTGTCGTCGTCAAAGAGCTTGAAGATCTTCATCACCTCGTCCCGCGTATCGCGCGAGTTCTACTCGATGCGTCTGCAGTTTAAACGACGATGAATGGCGTAGTACCATGCGGCTGGTCATCATTTCCACAAAGTTTTCAAACTCGATCGTGCCGTTCTCGTCCTTGTCAATGTCGGCAATCATCTTGCGCACCTCGGCCTTCTTGACCTGGAAGCCCAGCGCCCGCATGGCCGCCTTGAGCTCCCGCGCATCGATCGAGCCGCTCCCGTCCGTGTCAAAGAGGCTAAATGCTTCCTTGATCTCCTCCATTTGCTCCTCATCGAGCGCCTACACGCTTATGTTACGCCACATTGAATGCAGACGTACTAGTAGTACCTTCTTGACGGGCTTGGTCTTCTTGCGGAGGGCGGCGCGGGACCGGGCGAAAGCCGACGTTGTGGCCTACGCGAGGGTCAGCAGCCATCGCCAGCCGCGTGCCCACGCACCATGGTGTTGTTCAAGAAGAGGCAAAATCGAATCTTTCGAAGATCGCGGCGCCATGTAGTCGAGCCATCGGCAAGCAGATGCATTCGAATAGTCGCGTCCTCCGCAGCGTAATCACGAGCTGAGCTATGGTGACGAGCAGAGCTACAGAGAGGAGACTGATAGTGAGAGTCCATGCACAGTCTGCCGTTCTGCTAGTTTGAACTGGCCTGCTTTGTGGCGCGTATATTGACTTGGTCATAAAGTTGGGAAAGGCCGCTGATTGGATCCACGCGCCGAAAACGATTTCCGATTGCGTTTCTTCGGAAATTGCCGACGCTGCAGCGTGGACGGGTTGAGACGCCTTTTGATTGGTGGAAAAGATCTTCGAAACGTTTTTTGGCCAATCGTATGGCTGTATGGCTCATGTCCATTTTTGAGCACGTTTTTTCGACTGTTCCGCGAAGGCCGACGACGATGAAGACGGCGCTGCTGCTAGCGCTCCATGCGATGGCCTCGACCGCGCTCGTGATCGAGCGGTACATGCCCATGCTTCTTGGCGCTCGAACTTAAGGCTGGCGTCTTCCTGCGTATAGGCCATGCTGCACCGTCGCCAGCCACATGTAGGCGCGGGTTGCGACGTCGTCGTCTCATGCGTCTCGTAGCCCAGCCCACTTTGGGCGCAACATCTCGGACGACATACCCGAGCTTCTTCGTGGCGAGATCGTGTCAGGTAGACGCTATGACTCCCGCCTGTAAGTTGCAGCGTGACCATTCTGTTGGCAGCTCGGCCATTCGACGCGTGTGGCGATGCGATCGAGAACGACGTGGCCGGACGCATCGTGCTCGTCGTGCGTGGCAAGTGCAACTTTGCGTACAAGGCGCTGCAGGCGCAAAAGGCGAACGCAAGCGCGATCGTCGTCATGGACGACAAGCCCAAGGTCCACGACGAGTAAGTTCGCCTCGTTGCCCGAGTCCAGTAGCCGCATCTTGTGTAGAGTCTGGGGCGTGCACATGATCTCGGACGGCAACGTGTCAGCCATAGTCATTCCGTCCGTCTTTGTCGCGTACCAGACCGGCGAGGCTCTCTTGGCGCAGCTAAAGCAGGCAGACAGTTTGCCGCCGCTCGTAACACTCAACAGCACCGGCCAAGGTACAACAATCTGTCTGATCTATATTCGACATAGTGTACAATGTTAGGTGTGGCGACCTTTCGGCAGCATAGCATCTTTGAAGGCATCGTGCTCTACGTGCTCTCGACCTCAGTGATGTTTGTCCTTCTCAGGTCCGTACTCGCGTTTTTATTACCGACATTTTGACGGAGCCGCAGCGCGCTGTGCTTTGTGCTGAGCAAGATCGTTGCTTGGTACCAGCAATCAGGTAGATACCAGCACGGTCGTCGATTTGCTCGACATGAAGGATCGTAGCACGAACACGGGCGGCACGACGCTTGCCGATGCGGCAATACCATGTACTAGTACACCTTTTTGTCGGCAAGGAGATGATACTAACGGCTCGCTTAGGTAAAATCAGACGAAGACGTGTGCTCGATTTGTCTCGAGACCTTTGACGACGGCGTCTGGCTCAAGGTACTGCCGTGCGACCACGAGTTCCATCAAGAATGCATCGATCCGTGGCTCCAACACCGCAACGGCAACTGCCCGCTGTGCAAACGCGAGGCACTAGACGGCGGTAGGGATTCCGCCTTTGCTTTCATGTTGCCGACATGAGCTAGACGTGTGTGTGGACGGGATCTGGACAAACCACCACGCAGGTCTGGCGAGCTGGCTACCGTACATTCTGGTCTCGAACGAAAACAACTACTCGGTGCAGGTAAACGATATCGTCCTGCGAACTACCTGGATCCAGGCGGTGTCTAGATGTTTCTGTACGGTGTCATCATGATGCTACCCCTGCTTGTGGCGGTTGCTCTCGGATACTTTACTGTCGACCTCTGAGCATTACCTGCGCTACTATCCTAATGTCTTATAAATATTCCAACAATTTTCTTGGGATAAAGTTGACTCTACGCTCACATCGAGGGACACACTTCGTCTGGGACCAGCGACAAGTGGTTTCTCTCTGAGCTACAATGAAGGTGGACTGTATCAGTGAAGGTTGGTGGGGTCGTATCGAACCAGGGGTACTATTATTCACCCCTGTATCGAACCAGTTTCGAGTCGCCATTTTTCAAATTTAGTCGAGGCGGAACTTGAGCATCGACTCGGCCGGGCGATTCGTGCCATGCTTGCAGCCGAGGACGCTGGACCGCGTTAAAAGGCGTTTGCTCATCACTTTGTACCAATAAGAGAAAACAGGGATGGTTCGCAAAAATCAAACTCAAGCTCACACACGGTTTAGGGCAGAATTGAGAATTCGGATTGACACGATCAGACAACGCCAGACGCCATCATGACCACATACACGCATGGTGAGCGTCTCTGTGCGAGGTACTTTAATCGGCGAGGTGTTCTAATCATGTACAAGTAGTGTTGCTAAGAAAAATTCATTTCCCAGATATGTAGGATGGTACTGGAGAAACCGTGAGCCAGAGAGGAAAATACAAGGAGGTTTTCATTGAGGACATGAAGGAGGTGGACAGCACTTGCAAAGGCTTACATCTGGCGCAGATTGCGGGAGGCAGAGGCGCCGGGACCGTAAGGAGGAGGCGTTGTCGGATCCGCACATGGCGACGGGCTTGGGCCGGGCTGCGGGCCGGGTTGAGGACCAGG